TCACAGGAAGAATATGTATAAAAAAAACTTTCAGCCCTTTCCACTCTGGTGAAGAAAGAAGAGCAGCAGAGCTCTAGCTTCTATTCTCGGCGGTGGCTTTTCAGGCGAGCGATCTGCTCTTCTTTCGCAAGGGGAATCTGAAGCGCTCGACGCAGCAGTGGTACATACGTTAGGGCGATAGCGGTCTCGCGGCGGTTGCGGAACCATTCGCGCTGCTGCGCATATCGCCGTTCGTTCCGTTTCCGCTCTTCTTCCTCCGAACGCCTCCGATGAAATGTTGCCGCCACCTGTGAGCGACGGCAGCCACCAGTTGTCTGGTTGCCGAGGCTGGCCAACACCACCTAGACAGAAGGCCTCCGCATGGTTTCCTCTTCGTCTATGAAACGTCATCACAGTCGGATCGCGCTCGGTCGGCTATTGGACCCGAGCCCGACCTTCGACGCGCTGATTGGCCACGAGCCGCAGTCGAACACTGACGCAGCACTCGTGCCCAATCTCTCGCCTCGATCTCGATCTGACTATGATGACGCGTGTGGAGGCCTTCTGTCTAGGTGGTGTTGGGCTGGCTAGGTTGCCGCGATCTATGTGCGACGGCGGCAAGCAGACAACCGGCAAACACAACACTCTGGACAGCTACCGCCATCTACGAGCGACAGCGGCAAACAGAGTGTTGTGTCGACCACGGTTTGGTACCGGACACGATCCTGGGGAAACTAGGTACCGGACACGATCCTGGGGGGGGGGGGTGGGGGGGGGGGGGGTCGTTTTGCGGAGATGGAGCTTCAAATAGGGGTTAGGACATACGGGATGGTTATGGGAATGTAGTATGTATATACACTGTACAGTGAGGCACCGGTGAAAGCTGAGAACTCGAGACAAGGACCGAGCTTTCAGGTGTCCCAAAGCAAGCAGGATGCTACAGGTGTGGCTTTACCTCCGTCTGTTTACCTCATTGAAACATACTGTCTCCTTGGAATTTTAGAATTGCTGGAGTTGCTGTTGTTGATCTTACCCCCGAACACGCAATAGGTCGTTTCCCAGTCACTTCATAGAGGTGACATTACAGGTATAAAACACCGGAAAGCGCAACTCGAACATCTCACTACCGTTATGTGTTGAGGCGTTCCGCTTTGCTCTAATATTGCGTTGACCTGTAGTGATGGCACCTTTCGTAACATTCAGGCGTTGAGGCTGTAAACTTACCAATTCTTTCATGTTTGCTTTAAATCATTTTTGTCCCGCGGGCTGTTACGTGAAATACGCTCTTTTAGAGCTTCTGTCCCGAGATACAGATTTATAAGGCGAACGCGTATCGTTTGGAGCCCGCAGCGTACGTGGATTGTACAAACGGCCGTCCTGACCGGCACCCCGAGCAATGTCTGCTTTTCACGAGCGCCGACAACTACCGAAATTACCCAGATCATAAGATACGGGCAAACTGAAACAATCAAATATTTCGGTCGTCACAGAATCTATAGAGGCACCCACGCCATCCCCGATCGACACGATTCATGGCGCGCGGCGAGGTCAAATCGTTTGGATCTGGTTCGTATCGCCGTTCGACCCGAAACCCGCTTCGGTCACTTGCCTCGATCGGGCAGCAATTTAGCGACATTAGGACCTTTTGGCGTCGTCATTAAAAAGGGACCCAGACTAATTACTCTCGAAAGATGGCGCGTAGGCGCGCTACACTCCCGTTGGTATACACGCGGGGACCACCCCCGCTCCAGCCATTTTCCACATTGCAGCGCTCTGATTAATAGGTTTTTAATCGGCCCTCCACTCCCTTCCCAACACGTGGGCGTTCCACAGCAGCGCCCGGACGTATCGGATCGTTAATCACGTATGCATAAACGCACCGCGTGAAGTTCCTAGTTGAATATCGCACCATCGCGATTCATATGCGAGCCTGAATTGAAAATCTTCGCCCGCTGAACCCGCTCCGCCGGCCGTGGGGACGCGCGAGTGTATATACTGTGTTGCGTCATCTTACACCGCGAGTCTAATCTGAAGCAGTCTTAGTTGATTATAGAAGCAGTCCGGAATAGTATGTTGAGCAAGACCGTCGGCTGTGTGAAGCGTTCCGGCGAAGTGCCCTCAAGGCGATTGTAATCGATCTTGAGCAATGAGCGCTTATGTAAATGGTTCCTCGCAACAATCCCTTACGACCTGTATTGTCATTTTGTATTATATAGTAAATTATACAGTCACTGGATGGACACTTCCTCGACTCCACGTGAAGTTTAGAACATGCCGAACGTATATGTTATTAAATGCTGGGGAGCCTTTGGGGACAGACTGTGTAAGAGCGTACAACGGACAACCCGAGAGCGTACTGCAGAAATCTGGAGATCGTGAAAAAGAACCCCTCCCCCCCCTCCCCTCCCCTGTTCCTGCAGAAATTGTAGCAACTGACTGCAGGATGAGAACGGTGGGGCATCTTTTTCAGGCGTCCGGCCTCCAAAACGTGCTCAATTGCCTTCCGTCATGCTTTGGCTGTGCCTGTACGCTCGAGGCTTGCGAGATGCCGAAGCGTTATCGAAGGTATGGGGCGCTCGGGCTGGAGCCATGGGTCAACTGAAGAAGCTCCCTGCTGTTCTCATTTTGTCAGTGGCTATAGTGCTGTATAGATCCAATATGCTCGAATCCCTGTAAGCATTTAAACGAGAAATAATCCACAACTCCCCCCCCCCCCCCCAAAAAAAAATAAAAATAAAAATAAAAAATAAATACACTTTTTTTTTTCTTTGTTAGCGCAAGGATAAACTACGCATAACCGAACGCTCATTCTCCGCCCAAAGGTAGCGTTATAGGTTCGAACCGGATGCCAAATGTTCAGCCCGAACCGATATCTTATTAAAAAGTTATAAGTGATTTTGTATAAATTGCCATGAGAAAATGGTGCCCATTTTC